GAGTGACTCCCTGTCATTACTCTGTCATTTAAGAGGTGTGAGTCAGATGAGGGAATGAGGTTAAGAAATGGAGGATTATTAAAGATCTTTCGAGCAAAAGAGCGTGAGGCTTGAGCCCTCACTCACACTTACTTGCTGGACCTGCTTCAATTATTACCTGGGAATGAAGATGATGATGATGGTGATGATCATGTTCATGATGATGATGTAGCATAACTCCTTGCAAGATGGTTTTTAGCAAAGGATTATCAAAGAAGATGCTATAGATTATATACTGGCTACAAGCTCAGGCCCCAGACAGCTCTGCCACTTGCTACCTGTGTGTCCTTGGGTAGCCCTTTAGCAGCCTCTCTCTAATATCAGTTTCCTCATCTATAAATTGGACATAATAGGATCTGCTTCAGAGGGCAGCTGTGAGAATGAAACAACATAATCCATAATAGATGCTCAACACAATTTTTGGTGAGCATTAAGCACTTAGTGCAATGCCGAGCACATATTATTAATAAATTAATATTGCATAACTGGTAAGTGGGATGATACAGTAATTGTGCAATGTCAGAGGAAAGGCTGAGTCAGTTCCAGAATACAACACATGATTTGGAGTCTCTGAAACAAAGAACTCATACCATCAGAGACCTCAGGACAGGGGCTTATGCAAACTGTCAACAAAGGACCCACTATCAAGTCCCTCAGAGCCCTCATTCATATAAGCTGGTGTCCATGGCACCACTGTGCACACACAACCTAATCTCCAAGGAGGGCAGCTCACAGCAACAGTGGCATCTATTCTCTAGGGTGTCTATGCAGGATACAGGGAGAGAGGCGGGCATGGCTGGAAGAGGACCGTACAATTATAGGAGCAAGCAGCCTCAACTAGGAATCAGGAGCCATCACTCTTTTTCTCATTGCAATTTCAGTGGTGACTTTGTACACAGGACTTTTCTATTTAAAAATAACTTTATTCTTATCTACAAGTCTGGCATCTGTAAATTTTCCCTTTGAGAAACAAATTTAACACTGTGAATACAGCTGAATTAGATCTGTCCTGCATGAATCATCAGAGGGTAGCATGGTTCATTTGGGACTGAAGGAGAGTGGGCAAGGGAAGCTGGGTCTATATATGGCAAGAAGTCTGTGAGCAAATGCAGTCGGCAGCAATGCTGACTCCTTGGCGCGGCTGCCATGCGCTCTGGAATCTGATCTGGCTGCTTCTTCGTCTCTCTACTGTCCACATGCTCCCGAAACCGCCAAGCAACCCATTCTGCATCAAAAACCAGATCCACCCTCCTGCCTTTGTTGCCGCTTTGCATGGGAAGCCCTTTGTCCATTCATCTTCCAGAAGGAACTGTCATTGTATGTTTGCAGGTCTGTCCCTCTCTCTACACTGGGAGCTCCTGTATCTGTAGCCCCTTACCAGGGCTCTGCAGATAAAGAGAGAGCCATCAGGGAGTAGTGGGAAGAGCACAGGGCTGAAGCCTGGGTCCAAATGTAATACCTGTTTCAAATGTTGGCTCTGCCCTCACTAGCCATACACCTTGGGTAAGTTAACCTCTGTGAACCTCAATTTTCTCATCTGTAAAATGGACATAATAAGGCACTTAAATTTATTGGGTTATGGAAGAATCAAATAATTGTCTGCATGTAGAGCACTAAGAACAGCAGCTGATAGAGTAAGAGGTAAATAAAGGTCCCACCATAGTGTTTGTCATTGCTGTTCCATGTATACAATAAAGAAAATTTAAAACAGAAGGGAGGCTGTGCCCAGCAACTGAACAGACTTCTGATTTCACATGCTGGCTCAGCGTCCCCCTGTTGAGTGGACCATGTTGTACGGCTTCTCACTACACACCCACAAGAGGAGATGAAGTTTTCACTCTGTTAGTGGTTGTGATCTTATTTCTTACCTGGGCTACCCACCCAGCCCCACCAAAGCCAGCCAGCAGGGACTCCCCAGCCCTGCAGGACAGGTAGGGGACACTGCTGCTCCATTCCTTGCACACCAGCCCCAAGTAGAAGTTCTTGCTCCGAGAACATTAGTGCTGGGAGTTGGAGCCGATCTTGCCCAACATCACCCCACAACACATGGGGGAACTGTGGCCCAGGGAGGTCACGTGTTTCCATTTTGTTAGCAGCAGGTTTACTACATTACTTGTCATATGGTCAACTTTTTAATGGGTACTAAGAATACTATAATGTTTGTTTAAAGTTGGAAGGAGTTTCAAAGTTCATCTAAGCTGGCACTTCTCAAACTCCCCATTCTAAGGAATCAGATGACACATGAGCTCTGCTGCAAGTATTCCACATTCATCTGATGAACATTTTGAACACCTACAATGTGCTGTGCTTTAGGGACACAAGTCAGACACCTCCCCTCCCCTCAGGACCTCACAGACTAATTGGAAAGAGAGACATTTAAGTGTGCAATCACAAATCTATTCATTGCTGAATTATGTTCAAAAGTGCTAGAATGAGCTTCTCCACTTATGTAAAATATCTTTCCAAGTGGGAGAAGATAGACCTGGGTGGAGGGGGCAGTTACAGTTAAGGCTCTGGAAACCGCCAGCCCCCTACTGGGCTCACCAAGCTCATGTAGGGTAACACTATCATTATGAAGCCTCAGCACTGGAGAGGCTGGGAACCACTAAACTTGCTCTCCCCACCCGCATTGAACAGAATAAACAAATTGAGGCCTTAAGAGTTTAACTCGCTTGCCCGAAGTAGCAAAGCTGGTGGATGGAAGAACCTTAAAATCCTACGGTGGTTTACACGGCTTCCTTCCAAGAAAAAGTCCAAATCCCATAGCATCTGGCCCCTGCTCACTTCTGCAGCCTCATCTTTCACCATTCCAATTCCCACCTGGTGATCCAGCCAGACGGAACTACATGCCAAGTCCCAAATGTGCCTCTGCTTCGCCTGTACCACTCTCTTCACCAGGGACCCCAAGTCCACTGCCCTAAATAACTCTGGCTCGTTTCCAGCTCTCAGGACTCAGCAGCAGTTAACCTCGTCCAGGAAGCCTTTTCACGGGTGGCCTCCTCTGCCTCTCACAGTACTGACACCTTCACACACAGAGAGAGAGAAACACTCGTCACATAATGTATTCATCCATTCAACAAAAATTTATTGAGCAACTTCCATGTGCCAAGCACCTCCATTTACAGCAGCAAACAAAACAAAGCCCCTGCCCTCGTGGAGCTTACATTCTGGTGAGGGAAACAGACAATCAACAAATAATACATAATACAATGTCAGGCAGGGTTTGGTGCTATGAAAAAATAAACAAGAGCAAGGCTGGAGGAGGTGGCATTTGATCAGAAGTCTGAAAGAGTGACAGAGTAAGCTGTGCAAATAACGGGAAACCAGCATTTCAGGAAGCAGCAACAACGGCCCTGTGGTTACTACAATTATGTCTTATTTGTGTTTTATATCCCCACTGAACACTAAGGTCCTTGAGGGCAAGGTTTTTATGTTAAGCGTGACTCCCAGGATCCAGCACAGAGCTTAGCACTGCATTGTGGGCATTTACAGAATGAACAAATAAACCCGGGCTGGTTGGCTGAGCCCATCTGGCCTAATGAACAGATCTAGCCCATTTTGTGTGTCTGCCTCCCACAGGGCTAAGCTAAGCAAAGGCCCTGCGTGGACCAGTCTGCCTAACCTGATTCTGTGGCTGGGTTTCTGTCCCTGGATTCACTCTTTAGTAGGTCCATGATCCTGACAAGTTCAGTTTTACATTTCTGACCCTCCTATCTCTCGCCTGGACCTGGGTCCTTGTCTAGAAACCCAGATATTCTCAAACTAGGAGCCTGTCCTTACTTTCCCTAGGTGTCCTGGGCATAAAAGTCCTCTCCTAAATTGCATGTCCCAAGGTTTAGGGCCCAGACACCTGCAGCCAGACCTGCCCAGTGATGACCCCTACCTACCTGAAAGACTCCCCTGCCTGATAATTGACTTTCTTCCAAATTAAATGAGTCTTTCCTACTGAGACATCCACCCTCTGATCACACTGATCCTCTCTGTGGCCATCTCTCTGCAGGCTCCAACTTCATGAACCATTACTGAAAGTCTACCACAGCCAAGGCACAAAGCTAAGTACATAAGACTTTGTGTTGCCCACTACAAACCTGTTAACCTGTTAAATAGATTGGTATAAGTCTCCTGGCTCAACTGTCCTAAACCAAAATACTAACACTCCTGAAAACACATTAAATAGCCCATATAACTCAAATAAAGGCAAATGGCTTAATTCAATCAGCCAACTGCAATAGAATACTCTGAAAGTCATGGTGCTTTACCCCAGACCCCAACAGGTCTAAAATGGGTTCAAGGATGAGTAAGTCATCTCTTTAGTCATCCTTTCATCCACCACTTACTGACAACTGCCATATGGCAAGTTCTGAATCATAAAACACAGGGCCTGCTCTGATGACAGTGGTGATAATCATGATGGTGGTGGAGGAAGAGAAAAAGTGTTAGAAGTTACATTTATAAGATACTTATGTGCTATACAGTAGACATTAAGTCTTCTAATATTAACAAAACAATGAGATTGGTATTGCTGGCATTGGCCTCACTTAACAGAGAAGGTAATGGTCTAAAGAGGAATGTCCACTTGCTCACAACTGCACAACTAAGTAGCAAGGTGTAGGGAGACCCTAGGTCTTTCTGCTTGGAGACTACAAACTGTTTACCATGCCCAATACTTGCACAGTAAGCACTAAACAAATGAAACAGAGAAGGCCCTGGCCCCAGACTTATAAACAAGCATGAGGAGGCCAAGGCTGACATCTGGAGACATAAAGAGGTGTAGGGGAGCCAAAGGAGGGAGTGGCTAACTTGACCTAGAGGATGAGCATTTTGCAGCTGACAAGCGGGTTCCCAGCGTGGCACGCGGCAGGCGCTCTGCCCTGGCCTGCCGACCGGGCCTGAGCCATGCCGGGTCCTCTGCAGTCGTCCTGTCCACCCCCCTGTGCCCACGCAGCGGGGCCGGGCCTCACCTCCTTCCACTTGAGCTGGCGGATGCTGATCTTCAAGGCGTCCAGGGAGGTCCTGGCCTTGGAGCTGTCCACGGTGACTGGCCGCTGTGAGCTCTGCTCCTCTGGACGGCGGACACTCTGCCTGCAGCTTGAGCCCTTGACCCTGGGCTTCCCGTGTGGACAGAGGTCCCGCGCCGGCTTCGGCTTGTGCGCGTGCAGCGTGGGCGGCCGCCGCGGGGAGACGCGGGCATCCCCCTCCTCCGCGCAGGGCTGCTCCGGGCCCGGGCCCGGGGCCTGGGACTGCTCCTCCCCGGCCTTGCTCTCGGGCTCCCCGGCCGCGCCCGAGTCCACGCCGGTCTGTCCGGCCGTCACCCCCGCGTTGGCCTCTGTCTCTGCTTTGGCCGCGGCTACCGCCTCCACCTCCGACTGAGCCGCCAGCTCCTTCTTGGAGCTGCCTCGCCGCATGGCGCTCAGGGTCGGTGCCGGTGCCAGTGCCACCGCCGCCGCCGCCGCTCTGCCGCCCAGGCCCGCGACCAAGCTGCCGCCACTGCCTCTGCTGCCGCCACTGCCAACCGCTCCCCGCCCGAGCCCGTTGCCATGATCGCTCAGGCTCAGGTTGACAAGGGCAGTCACCGCCTCCCGACGGGACCCGGGAAGGGACAATCGCCGACCAGGCCCCGGCGACCTCATAGGCGAGGTTGCACACGTGACCAGGCCTGTCACAGAGGCACCGGCGGCCATCTTGGAAAAGGGCAACTAGCTGCCCTGGCCGGCACACCCAGGGAACTCTCTAGGTTTTTGAGCGTTCGGAGCACAAGCTGGAAATGAAACTGAGGGTGGAAAGACGTCGAGCTCACGTGGGGCTCCCGGAACTAGGGAGGAGAGACATCTAATTCCAACAAGAGCCTCAGTTTCCCACCCGCTCAGGCACAGTCACACTCACTGGGGTAACTCCTGGTCCCCTTCTCCTCCCGCCCGTCCCGGGGGAAATCCAGCATGGGAACATCTCATCTAGTGAGGGATATAACAAGTCCAGACCCCAGTTACATAGCAGCAAGAGTTCCACTGGAAGACGCCCTTTTCTAGTCCTGTGAGCGCCCCCAGATTGATAGCAGAAATACCTTGATCTGTTCTCAGGGAGTTTCCAACAGAGTGGAAAAGCCCTACAGATTCTCAGTCCACTTGAGGACATCAACAACTCCTTTTACTTGTTATGTCACTTTTTTATTGTAGTAAAAGATAACAAAAGTTACCTCTCAACCATTTCAAATATGCAATCCATTGACTTTCAGTTGATTCCCATGGTTGTGCAGCCATCACCACCATCAATCAACTAGAAGTACTACTTCTTCCCAGGGGGAAACTCCTTCTCTATGAAATAACAGCTCCTCATTCCGCCCAACCCCAGCCCCTGGCAACCACCATCCTACTTTCTTTCTTGATCAAATTGACTACCCTAGGTACTTCATCCAAGTGGAAACTTTGCCTTGTTTCATTTAGCATAATGTCCTCCAGATTTATTCTTGTAGTGGCATGCATCAGAATTTCATTCTATTTTAAGGCTAATATTCCACTGTATGCATATACCATATTATTTTTATCCAGTCATCTGTACATGGACATTTGTGTTGTTTCCACTAGTTAGCTATTGGGAATTATACTGTCATTATCATTGGTGGACAATGTTGGTTTGAGTCCCTGGGTTGGCATGTACTTTTAAAGCCAATCCAAGAAAAGAGCCACATTTGCTTTAATTTGGTTTGGTTTTTAGGAAATGGGGTTGGAAAGGTGCAACGACACACTAGGATGACAACAGAATGACCACAACTATCCATGAGTGAACTTTGCCACATTCTGCACTGGGATGGAAAGAACACAGAAGTCATGGAGGAAGGAGGCCCTCTTCCTCACTGATCTCTCAAGGAGTCTTTTTTACCTTGGTCTAGCATTTTACTTGGTGAATAAAATGCCTTGAAATGTACAATCAGAATCTTAAAAGGCCCAAGCCCCCCTGTGGGGGTGCTCCTCTCTCTTCCTGTGGAGGCCACGATGGCTTTCTCCTCTGACCACCTGCACTGAGTGACCTGGGGTCCTTATTTAGAATTCAGTCTTCTGAACCCACCCCCAGAGATTTTGATGCAGAGCATCTGGATGAGCCTGTGAGTCTGAAGGTTAAATTAGTTTCTTTGCTGATTCTAAGGCAGCCAAGGTCAAGAGCCATGGATAGAGTCTACTTCAAGACGTTTGAAGACCCTTGGAGCTGTCCGTGGTACCAAGGAAAAGCCCTCACAATCTCCTATCTGCATCCACACCCTATTCCCCCAAATCCTGACCCTCCTCCTGGTGTCCCTGGTTTCAGAGAATGGTACCACCTTCGTTCAGGCATCCTTGAATGTTGCTGAATCTTAACATCCCTCTCCTGACTTCCTAGAAGCAGGCTGTCACCAAATCCCATAGGTTTTATATTGAAATCTTACTCCCATCTTTCTCCTCTTACCCTTCCCTATGACCACTGCCCCAGTTCAGGTTTCTGCCACTAGGGTGAACCATTGCACCAGCCTCCTCATGGGCCTCCTTGTCTCCAGTCTCCATCAAACCCTGATGCGTTCTCCACACTTCAGCTAGATCTGCAAATTGCCTGCAAAGAAACTGCCCCATCTTTGGGGAATAAAACCCAATCATGCTAATTGCCCTAAAAGAGCCTTCCTAATTACCACTTCTGCAATAACCCCCTTCTCTTTGCCTCCATGCCTTCATGCAACTGTTGCCTCTGCCTGGACCTCTCTTTCTTTTATCTCTACCTGGAAATTCAGACTCAGCTTGAATGCCTTCCTCTTCCATAAGCTTTTCTCAAATCCCACAGGCAAAAATAGTTCTTTCCCCTGTCAACATAGCTGGTAACCCTCCACATGGTCTCTAGAGAAACCATCTCAGCCTCCTCCATTGGTCTGGACAGGGACCAATCTGGTCTGGTTTATCTCTATATTCCCCTCTCTTGGAGCTACAACACAGTGGTCCTCAGAAGGATAAATGCACCAATTAATGAGTTACTTTCAACTTGTCAACTCTGGAAAAAGCCTCCACATAGAGATATTTTGGCCTATGTCCCAAGACCTCTTCTAAATAGGACCTTTGGCAGATGGTCCTTCCCTCTGCCCAGAACGTTCCTGCCTACAACTCTGCCCACTTCTTCTTCCATGATCAGTGTATATTATATATCTGAAGAGATACCTCTACTCTATATAAATCAGAACTTTTCTGACGAAATAATTGACATAAGACAGAAAAACAAATAAACAAATGAACCTCAATGCAGCATATAATTACGTGCCAAACAAGGCAAAGAGTAAAAAGCAAAAGTTATTTAGGAGTTCAAGGAATGGAGAATTTACTGTGAATTTGCCAGACCAGGCTCCACATAAGACACTGGGCATAAGCTGAGTCTTCAGGATGGAGTAAGAATGAGGCAGATAGGAGTTAGGCGGGCTGGGGTGGGGTGGGCATTGCAGAGGCTGTGGGGAGGGCTGCTCCAGTCTGGGGGTGGAGATCTGCCAAGGCTCTGCCCACCAGCTTGCCTATCCAGGTTGTGTCCACCAGGTGGGGTGATTTTGCCCATTGGTTCAAAGGCTCCAGGGGTAAAGGAGTTCCTGTCCTGAGAGGGGGCACAGGGAGTAGATGTGAGAGGAAGACGCAGTCTCTTCAGGGGTGCAGGGAGCAGACTGGACTGGTTGAAACACATGCCTTGGAGGAAGGGCTACAGGAAACAAGGCCAACTTGAGCTCGATTGTCAGAGCTTTAAATGCCGTGGTACCCCGTGACTTCTTGGGAACCCCCAAAATGTGTTGGCAGGAAATCCAACCCCATATGTGATTACTCCAAGAGAAGCATCAGCTGTGGCTGCTGAGAAGCAGAGCAGGTTAGGATGCAGGACTGGAATTACCGTCCCGAGATACGCAACTGTGTGAAATGTCTCTCCAGATGCGCCCTGTCCCTCACAGCTCACTGTGGCTTACAGTGGGCTCTTTCCTGTGTGTCCCACCAACCAGAAGTAAGGAGCTCACTGTTCTGTGGACCACAATATCCCAATGCCTAGTCTAGTGCCTGGCAGAGAGCAGGCACTCAAGAAATATTTCTCAAATGAATGAATGAAAAATTAAACTACTTAGATAATCAACACTGAGGAAATGGTTAAGGAAATTGTGGCAAAGGCTGTCAATGACAGCTTCAGCCACCAAGGAAAACGTCAGTGTCATAGCATGAAGGGAACGGGTGCAGGCATTGTAATTACAATGCCTAAAAACTGCTCTGCACGAGGAAGGCCTGGAAGAATACAGAGACAAATGAGAACAGCTGTGGTGCTGGAGACTCCAGCTCTTGCTTGAAATTTTCCTCTCAATTTTAGCAAATTGTAGCAGCCTTGAGGTTCTTCATGTCCTTGAACCCCGGAATCAATCTCCTTTCTACAGATTTTTGGTAAGAATCAAGAAGACAAGGTTTGTGGTGGTCTACTATTGGCAAGTCACCTCTGTGCCCGGCACTGGCCTGAGCCTTTTGTATATACTGTGTCTTATATCTCCACTGCAGCTCTGGGATGTGTTCCATTAAGACCCATATTTTACAGATGAAGGAACTTCCTACTCAGAGAAGACAAGTCACTCGCCCAAGGCACACAGCTGGGAAAGGAAACATCAGGATTCTAACTCAGGATGATCTGACATTAGCACCTGGATCCCAAGCACTGCACAACCCCATACCAACCCTTTGTCCACAAAAGACTCAACATATGTTTAAAGACAATTGAGCCCTCATACATGTATATGAGCATAAATACACACACACACTAACATTCAGGTATGAAATTTTCTACAGTGAGAAGACATTGATTTGCTAACTGGAAAATCAGATTTTAAGTAAAAAATTCACCTTGGCTCTTATTATGTCACTTTTACAGCAAATCCATTTCTGAGGCGGGGCGGGAAGAAGGAAGGGTCTGTTCCAGGGAGAGGGATGGGCACCGTTGACTCTAGCAGGTTGTTTCTGCCCTGTTCAGATCAAAACCTGCCACCAGGTGGCGCCCAAAGAACAGTTTTCGAAGAGTTGAAGGTGGCTGAGGTGCCCCAAAGGTCCCTCTGCTGTAAATGTCTGGCCCCAACAGCTCCCCCCTGGCCCTCTGTGCTCCTCTGGGCTTTTTACCACTGTTGCTCCTTCTGCCTAGTGCACTGTCCCCATACCCCACTTGACCCCCTGTCTACTCAGTTTGTCCTTCAAGACCCAGGTACAAAGTCTCCTTCTCTTAGAGTAGGGCAGAGCTCCCAGCCTCCAGGATGCGTTTTGTCGCAGATAAAATAATTTTTAACTGACTTCACATTTTAAGAACCCACGCTGCTGCACATTACCTGCCTGGTATAGCGAGCCATCAGAATGGGGATGCTTCCCACACAAGGGACAGTGGGACCCACCACAAAGTCCTCAGGGGCCAGTTGGAAGGAGCCTGCTTCATGGCAAGGGGCTTGTAAAATGCCATGTGATGGCTGTAAAATGAGTGTCCTTCCCGCCCCTGCCCACCATCTATACATGCTGAGAGTAGGGTTGGGGACCAAGTCCTGGAGGAGGGGACAGAGACAAGAGCAAGGAGCCTGGCAGAGAAGTAGGCTAAGGGAAGGCCCAGAGAATTGAACTGGGGAGTGTAAGAATGTTGGGCTGTAGGTGGGGTGTGGGTGGCAGGACACGTGAGGGGGGCA